AATGTTCTGTTCCACTCTTCATGGATCCCTAAAGTGCCTTATTGAAGTTCTGCATTTCTTTTATGTGTAAATCTTACTTTATTCATATCTTTAATTCAGTACCATAAAATAATTTTCACGTGTGTGTTAATTGCTGTTACAGAACACAGTGCCCACAAATTAGGAATTGTTATTATTGCTAATTCATGTGTACGAAGTTTCTCTTCTGGATATTTTGTCTCAATTGTTCTTTAAAAGAAAAAGAAGCCAGAGGGGTGTGTGTGTGTGTGTGTGTGTGTGTGTGTGTGTGTGTGTGTGTGTGTGTATGCATGTAATCTCTGTACTTGGGGAGTGGAGGCAAGAGAATTAGGTTATTCTCCGGTACACAGTGAATGTCAGCCTCACAGGCCAGCCTGGGCTACAAGAAACTGTCTCACCCCTCAACATCCCCTCCCAAAGTTGTGTAAGGTCTATCACTGTGATAAAACACCATGACAAAAGCATTTGGCGGGGTAGGGATTTATTTCATCTTATTCCATGTAGCATATCTCCTTGGGAAGTTAGGGCAGGAATGTAAGACATCTATCTAGAGGCAGGAACTAAGCAGAGGACATGAAGGAAAGCTGCTTACTGGCTTTGTTCCTCATGACTTGTTCAGCCTGCTTTTTTATACAACTAAGAACCACCTGCCCACAATGAGCTGGGTCCTCCCACATCCATCACCAATCAAGAAAATGCTGCACAGGCTCACCCATGGACCACTCTGGTAAGGACATTTTCTTCATTGAGCCTCCCTCTTCCAAATGACTCTACTTTGTGTCAAATTGACATAAAACTAGTCAGCACAGTACCCACTCCATCGTGGGCTGCAGTTCCTGATACATACATGAGTCAGGCAAGAAAAAATCACCACACATTAAGTCAAACAAAGGGACTTTATTACGGTGGGTGGTAGGAGACAGTGCAGCCGGAGGTTTTGCAAAGAGTTTTCCAGGGTGGACCAAGTCTTAATGTATTTGTTTGACATGTATCTCAGCTTAAGGTCCTCAGGCTTTTTACCCAAGGGACTGGATCCCTGAGCCACCACATCTCAGAAATCCAGGCAGTTCCTCAATATTCAGAAGCTGCTATTCCAGCACACCCTGTTCTGAGGAAGGGGAAGACACCATGAAGACTTGTCCTGAGAGCTGCTCAGGCATTGGGAATAGAAGTTAATTTACAGATCAAATCTATGACTGACTTTAGGCTTCATGCTGTAATTTAGAAACATGAACATGTAATGCTATTGAGAAATCATATGTGGGAACTTTTATGTACAGAAGACCCTTACCTTGATATTACTTATTAATATTCAAAAATAAACCAACAAAGATTTTAATGGTTTCATTAATCTTCAGTGTGTATTCAGCTTTTATGTTTCTGTCTCCTAAACTGTTTCTAATGCACATTTTTGCCACCTTTGTCAAAATAGGTATAGCTGAATGGGTTTATTTCTGAGTCCTCTCTTCTGTCTCAACGGTCGGCATATCTGTGGTAGTTTGAATAAGAATGGCCCCTATAGACTCGCATATTTGAATGCTTAATCATCAGGGACTTGCACTATTTGAGAAGGGATAGGTGTGGCTTTGTTAGAGGAAGTGTGTCACTAGGGGTAGGCTTTGAAGTTTCCAAAGTTCAAGCCAGGCCCAGTCGGTGAGAGGCCTGAATCCCAGTCCAGAAGTAACATCGGAGAAAGGCCCAAGCTTCAGGCCCTGAGTAGTGTCAAGGGAGCCACAAATGTCAGAACCAGGAGCAGTGTTCGAGGGAGGCCCCAGCCTCAGCCCCAGGAGCAAGGAGGAACCACTAGGTGAAGCAACAGCAGCACTTTCCAGCAAGAGCTTCCAGAAACTTACAAAAAGTTCCTCTGGGAAAGATCACCTGTGACCCAGGCAGCATCCAAAGTTCAAACCAGGTCTCTCTTCCTGAGGCCTGCAGTTTCTGATGTGGAACTCTTTAGCTACTTCATCAGCACGATGTTTGCTCAGTTGCCACCATGCTTCCTTCCCACCATGATGATAATGAACCAAACCTCTGAAACTGTAAGCCAGCTCCAATTAAATGTTATCTCCTGTAAGAGTTTCCCTGATCATGGTGTTTCTAAATAGCAACAGAACACTGACTAAGACAATCTTTTGTGTCAATACTGTTCTTCTAAATACGGTTCTGAAGCACAGTTTTAAAACTGATATTATGACAACTGTCACGTTGCTTTTTTTCTGCTCAAAATTGGGGTTTTTTATTATGTTTTTTAATGAATTTAAGCTCTATAAAGCATGTTATTGAAATTTCAATGGGAAGTGTATTGACTCGGCTTCTTTTGGTGAGTTAGTCATTTTTAGACTCTTTAAAAAAGATTTATTTTTATTTATGTGCATGACTGTGTGTGTATATTGAGAAGGGGACTGCAAATGTCAAACGAAGGCACCAGATTCCCTGGAACTGGAGTTATGGATGGTTGTGAGCTGCCATGTGGGTGCTGGGAATCCAATCCAAGTCATCTGTAAGATCCTCAAGTGCTGTTGACTGCTGAGTCATCTCTCTAGCCCCTCATTTTTAAAATTTAAAAAATGTTGCTAATCTGTGAACATAGGAAATCCTTGTCTCTTTGAGGACTGACTTAGTTTGGTGCTTCTAAGTTTTTATCAAAGAGGTTTTGAATTTCTTTGATTAGGTTTATTATTTCTAGTGGGTTGGTTGGTTGTTTGGCTATTGTCAAATGGGATTGCTTTCCTGATTTCTTGGTTGGTGACTTTGTTATTGTTTTTTTTTTTTTAACTAATGAGTTTGTATGTTACTTTTGTATCCTGCTATTTTGCTAGAAGCCTTTACCAAATCTAACAGTCTTCTAGTAGATTCTTTAAGGTATTTTAAGTATAAGGTCATATCATTTACAAATAAGGACAAATGGACTTATCTTTTTCCCATTTATATTTATTTTTTTCTCTTCCCTTATTACTTTAACTAACATTTCTAGTTATATATTAAATAACAGGAACAAAACTAGAAATGCCATCTTGTGCTTGATTTTATATGTAATGCATTCCAGTTTGCCTTTGAGTGAAATGTTGGTTATAGGTTTAATGACTGTCACCTTTGTTACGACTTTCTATTCCTAATTTCTTTAGAGTCATTAACATGAAGCAATATTTAAACTCATCAAAAGTGTTTTTTTCTGTATTTATTGAGATGACCACACAATTTCTGTTCTTGATTCTATCTACAGGCTCTAACTTATTTATAGATTATTGAATGTTGGACCATACTTGCTTTCCTAGAATGAGACCAACTTAGTCACGGTTGTAATGTGTTGTTGAACTAAATTTGGAGTACTTTATCTTTTGCATCTTTATACATCAAATAATTTGGTTTTTTTTTTTGTTGTTATTGTTACCTGGACTTTGTATCAGTGTCTTCCTTCATAAATTGAGCATTTGTTTCTTCCATTTCTATTTTCTAAAATAGTTTTGAAGTGTACAATTGATAGTTCTATAAATACCTGGTAAAATTCCCCTGTGAATGTGTCTGGTCCTAGGCTTTCCCTGATGGGAGACATCCTGTTCAATATCGTTTTTAGCAACTGTTTGTTTAGATTGAGTATATATTCTTGGCTCAAGCAGTAAGCTTTATATGTTAATTTTTTTCTCTTCTAGATTTTTCCAGTTTGTGAGAATGTAAAATTTCATGATAATCTCTAATGATCTTCTTGTTTTCCATGGCTTCTGCTGTAATATTTCAATTTCAACATAATTTATTAATTTGGGTCTTTTTTTCTTTTAGTTGGTTTGGCTACAGGTTTGTCCTTTTTCTTTTCTTCTTTTTCCCCCTTTCCAAAGAATAAACTCTTTAATTGATCCTCTTCATTGATTTGTTGTTGTTGTTGTTGTTGCTAGCTCATAAGTTTCAACTGATTTTTTCTGTTTTTCCCTCCTATGGTTTTAGATTTATTCTATTCTTGATTTTCTAAGGCTTTAAGAAGTATTATCTCAAAGATATAATGTTGAGAGGTCCCTGGTTTTTAACATGTAGGTACTCATAGCTTCCCCTTAGATCTACCTTTCCTACATGCCAATGAACTGATTATTGATGTGAGTGAGGAATGTTTCTTATTATGGGTTGTAGCTCTAAAAACATAACAAACAGAGCTGTAAAGATGGCTCAACAGTTAACATTTGCTGTTCTTGCAGAGGACGTGAGTTCACTTACTATCACACACATCAGGAGACTCACAACCACCTGTAACTCCAGTTCCAGGAGACATGACATTTTCTTCTGACCTTCACAGGCACCGGCACACATATGATACACATTGCAGGCAGTTGCACATGCATATAAATTCTAAACAAATATATTTTGGATAAAAAATCAACTATGCTAAAGCAGAAAGTGTAGTGATCTGATTTCAAAGGGATGAAAACAATAGCAGTGTTAGCTGATAGAAACAGTTTAATAGAGGATGGGTTTCTTTTGCTCACAATACCAGATGTTTCAATTCATCATGGCAAGGAGGACAAGGTGGAATGATTTACATCATGGCAGACAGGATGCTGAGTGCAACAGTAACAGAAATAACATGTCTGTAGAGCTCTACATCCTCCCACCAGGCCTCCCATGCTGTAGTTTCATCATCTTCCAACACTCTAGTTGAATTTTGAATCCATTTGTGACTTAAACTCTCCATTAAGTCACAGTCTTCATGATCTATTCATCTGTTGTACTTCATCACAGATACAACTGAAATGTCTTTACTGATCCCCTAGTCAACTCAAACAAGCTGCCACTCTAGAAGAACCATCATCACGGTACCTTAACTTTAAAAGCCATGTATCATGATATGATGGGAGGTCTATGTTGACCCACGGCTAAATATTTTAGTCTATTTTTTTAATCCATTATAAGTAAAGAAAAAAATATTATCAGATTCATCTTCCTTTCATCATACTGATAGGACTTGCAACAAAAACAGCAAACATGAAAAACACCAATGCAAACTCAAAGTCTCATTTATTTTGTTTCCTGATGCACAAAGGAGCTCACTCAGTACAGTAACAGTAAGCAAATCATACAAATACTGAGGGGAAGAATATCCCCTTGACTACATTCACATATATGTATATATTCTTAAACAGCCACCTAGAGGTTAACAATAAAGTAAGGAATGCTTTCTGATAGGATTACTGGGTAAAAAATAGACAGATGAGTCACTACCAAGTAACAGGTTAATAATGATATCAGTTACTCAAGAAACCTGGTAAGAGCCTGCTCAGGACTTACACTTCATTTCATCGAGGACTTGGTTGGCTTTTGCATGTCACTAAATTTGGACTAGATCAAGAAACTAACCCTTCAAACATTCAATCTCTTGAACCCAGTGCTGGAGATGGGCAGGAAGGTTGGGGTAGACTTGAACACATGCATGGCAATGGATGTCACATTGTTTTGTTTTTCTCAGCAACTTTTCACCTGTCTGCTTCTTCCCAGGCCTTTAGAAACTTTTTCATACCTTCTCTGGAGACATTATAAAGTACAATGTGTGACATCATACCTGCAGCAGTTAGTAGAATAGAAATTGCAAACATCTCCTTTTGGTCTTGAAAAAAAATCATATAGAATCTCTTGTGATTAAAAAAAATATTTCAATCCATTGCCTTTGATATGCTTCTCATTCTATTTGTTAATAGCTAAGGTTACTCTCTTAAAGCATTTGACTATTCCAGCAGCAGCAGCAGCAACTCTAAGAGATGCCCACCAAGCTCCAGAAGCAACCAGTTCTGGGTATCTCCCACAGGTGCACACACAAGGTGAAACTGATACAATATGCTCTCCAACATGCCTTGAAGGCCTCCCATATGCTTGCTTCTGAAGTGAAAAAGCTTAAAAATAGGAATAATCTGGTAGGGAGTAAAGATCCAGAACACACTGCTAGATCTCACAACCATTATGTTTCCTCTGTAAAATTTCAGAGCATTTGCCAGCAGGGATAGCCAAGGGCACATGTCAAAATCTGCTAAGCAATGAAGAAGAGGTTCCCTACCATCTCCTTTAACTTTGAAATTTCTCCCTGAAGAGAAAACAGATTCAATGCTCACAGAATTAACTCAGCAAGGCCCCCTTCTGGCAAGAAGGTAAATATGCTCTTGGATTCTAAAGTCTTCGATAGTGCAAGAACCAGCTAAGATAACACAAGAGAGGAGAGTCCAGTCTCTTTGGTCCAGTAGAAGATTAGAAGAACTTTTCAGGTCCTAATCTGTTATTTTAAATGCCTCCCCTGATTAAATTCAACTTGATTTGCCTACTTTTTTGTTTTGGTTGCACGAAATTTTGGAAATATACTACACATGATAAATTTTAATGCTTTTTAACCTTTTACAATGAAGTTAATCAAAAATTCTAGAGAAACAAGGTAAGTGGTATGGAGTAGGAGGGAGGGATAGTGTTTTAACTTTCCTTCCTCTTTTTGTTTATTCCTTTCTTTTAATGACAGCAAACCATTCAAATAAAAATGACAACTGGGATGGGCTGGGAATAGTGCCTATCTGTAATTCAGAAAGTCTACATTAGGTAAAGGCAACATTTTAAAGTGCAGGACATCTGACCCCATGTATGGGGCATTGAAACAACATAAGTAACACTCAGGAACACTTCACTTGGGAAAATAAAGCACATAAGTTATAAGGGACGCAGGAAAATCAAAGTTCATATAAACACATTGTTTTTTATAGAAGTTATTCAGCTTGTAGCACACTATCAGGACTAATCTGGATGCTTGACAGGATGGTGTCAATTGACTGTTATTCCTGCTTCTAGAATACACTTATTGATATTACTCTGTGTGAATCTCAAGTTTAAATAAAAGCCAATGTTCAATATCAAGATGCACACCCTTAAGGAAGATGAGTGTGGGATCTGCAAAGGCTGGAAGCAGTTGCTGGCTGGTAGAGGTCTTACCCAACACACACCTAAGCTACTTAGCCTGCTTCACTCAGCTTAGATGCCCTGTAATTAAGTTCCTTTGGTAAGAGTCAAAAGATACAGCAGAAAACACTTGCCAACCTCAGGGAGAAATAGGGTAAGGGGATTTGGGGCAGATTATTTTGATGTTGCTGGTGTGCTTGAAATACAAAGTTGGACTTGTTCACTTCTATACCACCAAAACAAAACAAAACAAAAACAAAAACAAACAAAAAAACTGTCTTTTAAAAAAAATTTAAAACTGATGTAATCTATACACAACCAAATCTAAAAGTGCTTCTACCATGAAAATAGATCTGGACAAATTACTGCCAAGTTAGCATGCTATGTGAGACTGAGATTTACAGGGCAGTAGAGGAAGTGTGTGCTTTCACACTTGAAAACACAGAATTAGCTCTATCGCCTAAGGTTTCTCTATTGTAAGATAATATGGAAACTCAGCTAAGTCCTGGGAATGAAATGATATGGTAACAAAACCTGTTCCCTGTTTTTGATTGTTTATAGGTCATGGAACACGTTAAGAAAAATGTAGTATTTCAGTAGAACTCATCACTGCTTCCTAAGAATCTGCCATGTTGTTATAATCTAATTAGTTAGAAAAGCTAAAATGCCTTATTTTGTCTAATATTCTTTCATGTCTAGTACAGTAAGTCCTACTAATAGGAACATTAAATGGGATTTCTATAAACTTTTCATTATACTAAGATTCTACTTCCAGAAAAATTTTAAGGAATTCAAGAGACTATTTGATAAATTGGAGTCCTTTCAATCTATAGGCCTGATAGAACCTTATCCACAGTTCCTTAAAGGACTTGTACTTGGCTTTTTATTTCTAGCTCATTGGTAGTGGGGGAGAACTTCATAGCCACAATGACACTGTGCTGAGTAGATAGGGCATTGAGCAAAGAACCCTGTCCTGTTACTGTTAATGGCTCCCAGGGGTGCAGTACATCCCCGATTTATGAAGACCCCAGTCTACACAGAAGCAGTAACTAGGGCTTGTTTCTTGTCTAATAAAATAGAAGCAACTGTCACACTACATAGCCAGAAATCAAGGTGATTCTGAAGTACACAAAAACACAACTATTTATGCCATGTGGCTATATGAATACTATCTCTAAGAGACTGTAAATCTTTAATACTCAACTTCTGCCAAAGACTTTGAAGCACAGAACTATATTTGAAAAGCGTGTGGCATTCGGGTTCTGACAGTCATCCCTAAAGAAGGCAAAGCATAACAATAACAAATCTCTGAAATGCAAATTCCATAAAGTGCAAATTTCCATAGATAAAGTCAACCTAGAAGCACGATTTAAAACCCAGTAAGTTCTCTTTTTACATGAGTGTTCTCAGTATTTAATTTCCAAGCACAATCAGTGATTTTTCTGACATCTGTTCACAGTCTAGCTTGTGCCCTCATATAGAAATCTACTAGATGGTACACATGGTGTTTCCTACTTTTCACTTAGCTCAGAATGTCTAACCACATAGGGATATTTCTTTGCACCGTATTTCCCTACATGGAAAGGTTTTATAGAAGCACAGTGCCAGCTGTTAACACTGCCCTCTGCATGAGCTTAACACAAATCTAAGCAGCCCCAAAGGAGGCATCATCATGAAATTATGAATGCTCCCAACCAAAGTTGAGGAACAGTACACTTCCTTTGCACAATTTACCAAGTGACCACTGGAAGCAGACATAGAAACAGAAGTCATCCGAAGAATATGGCACTTTTAAAACATACTTTCTAACCGGCACCTGGGCACAAGGAAGATATAGAACCATGTCATCCCAGGAGAACATCATGGATGCCCAAGGGTCTTACACTGAGCTGGAGAATGGAACCACTTGCTTCCCACCCACATAAACCTCCTCAATATTCCGGTCATCTCCTGAAAGAAAAAACAAAGAATCATTTGCACTATGCTTTGGGGTCAATAACTGCCTTAATTTCCTTTGAATGAGATTTTAGGCAGATCATTTATAATCTCCTTGGGATGACTTGATCAAAAGATGGCATTATAGCTAATTGTGGATTGGGGTCTCCATTCTGTATCTGAGTTGGAAATCAACCAATGTTCAATAAACTCCTGTCTCTGCGTTCAGCACATTGAGATGAACAGTCTTTAGATTGTGACCCCTCAAGCTCAGCTTCACCCAGCTTTGTGAACTCACACAATGGGAGGGGAGGTTACTCTTAGACTCTTCTGATTTAATTATGTCTCCAGGAACAGAAGAGACATAAGAGGATGTGGCATAGAACTCTTTTACCCTCTACATCCCAGCTCAGGATGTGTGTTCTTACAGAATTGTTAGACATTATGCCATAGTGTAAGCTCAGTGCTGAGGACTATTTAAAAATGAATTAACACAATTTAACACTGTAACTCAATACTGCCAGAAACTTTGAAAGTAACTCACTTTGTAACTTCAAAGGATTTCTGGTTGCCCATAAAGAATGCTTTCCTAAAACAGACCACAGGCCAATACTGTTTACTGACTTTCCCATCTTATAGCCATAACTCATAGAGTTTAATATAATTTACCAAGAACAGAGGGTCTTGACCAAGAAAAAAAAAAACATGTATTTATAGCCCAGAAACATAGTTACCTACCTAGATAGAGGAACTTCTGGATAACGGCCTAAAATGAAAAATAAAATGGTAAGAAATAGTACTTTGTACATTTAGAAATTAAATATAAAAGGAAATGCCATTGACAGAGTCCAGAAATGAAAATTTACTTCTTAATGACATTTTACATTTTAATAAAAAATGGTCTTTCCAAAAGACAAATAAATAAATAAAAACCTAAGCCCAAAGCAAGCAAGCAAACAAAAAAATCAAATCATAGTTTACTAGCTATTAACAAATGTTTATCCTTACTAGAATATTATTTATTTATTGGTTTTTAAGACAGGGTGTCTCCACATAGTCCTGGAACTTACTATGTAGACCAGGCTGGCTTCTAACCCAAGGATATATTTCTGCCTTTGTCTCCTAGTGCTGGGATTAAAGGTATGTCCCACCATGCCATGCCTATTACTGGAATATTCTTGAAAAACAATCTTGACATTGTCAGATACAGAATATTACATAAATCAATCACTACAAAAATGATACAAATACTTCCAAAGTTGTATAACAGGAAAAAAAAATGACTAAATGAGATGAGGCCTATTTCTCAGAAATTTACTCTAAAAACAGAACAAAAGAATTTAAAAAAAAAAAAAACATACGGGTATTTCTTATAAGTGAACTAAATGAATACAGCTTACTTTAGTAACAATTGTTTTAAAAAAAAATAGATCCCCCCCAAAAGGACAAAAAGGCATTTTATTTAACTTCCCTTTACTTACCTCAGAAATATCACCAACAAAATCTCCATAAAACAGATCAATGGGAGAGTCTGATGCTTTGGGGTTGATCAAGAGAGCATCAAAATCCTTGCCAACTTCGAAGTTTCCAATTTCACTATCCAGCCCAAGGGCTACAAATGGAAGTGAATAGCAGTCAGAATTACCACTGAATCATTATGATGTCCTTGTTTGCAAGGACAGTTGTTGCCAACATGTAACTATGCCTTCCAAAAGTAGTATCTGAACAGTGAACAAGTGTTCTCACTACTCTTACAGGTCACATGACCTCTGTATAGACAGCAGAGAAGGAAAGCAACTAGCTTCCTTCATAACCACTGCCATAATCCTGACGGCATCCAAATTTCAGCTGTACTCCACTGAACCCTCAAAGTAACAAGCTCGACACAAATTTATCTACCTCACCCTTTCCTCTTCTTCCCAAATACTGCCTTTTTGTTCTGTGAAATAAGTTAGTGGTGTTTATTGCCATGAACTGAACCTCAAATTTACAAAAAAAAAAAAAATCTATGTGAATTTTCTAATACAGGCATACTCATCATGAATTCCTTAGTGTGAGTTTTAAGTATATTTAGTATATGTGTTCTATATATGTATGCATATATGTATATATAAATATATGTGTATGTATATATATATATGTATTTATATGTGTGTGTATATGTGTATATATATTCCTTTTCAAAGTCCAGAGACCCTGTAACTCAAGACTGCCAGAAACTTTGAAAGTAACTTACTTTGTAACTTCAAAGGTTTTCTGGTTGCCCACAAAGAATGCTTTCCTAAAACAGACCACAGGCCAATACTGTTTACTGACTTTCCCATCTTATAGCCATAACTCATGTCCATGGTCGTTGGATGCCAAGGAAAAACATGTCTCACTTTTATAACATATTAAAGAATGTGCAGGTGTTGGATTTTGTTGCCAAGATGCTGTTTGATTAATATCTCCTTAAAGCCTGTATTCTAAGAAAGACATTGAGGTCACTTTGGTCACTTCTCATTGCTGTGCTATCTATTCCAAGATTTACCCATGCCTGATGCATCCTGTTGCTGCTAAGGTATTTTGTGACATGAAAACACTGGATATGTTTTCATTTTCTTTTCTGGTGTAACAGAGTATCTGACATGTGATATTTCTATGCACATGCATCCTGATAACTTGGCAATTATCAGAACACCAAATTAGAAATCATGCTCGTGCTTAATACATTACTTTAATCGTGACTCTTTTTCACTTTCAGAAGAGAAAAGGCTTTTTAACCTAAGGAAGTCTCATAGCCATAACTGTTCAAAGCAGCCGTGTGTCTTTGGTGTAGGGAGGGGCCGAGGGGAGCCTGGAGTGAACTAAAACACTGGCACTCTTCTCCTTTATTGGTTACATGCTATTTCTTGTCTTTGACAAAGGAAAACTATACCATGAGATTTAATGACTGCATTCAACAAGAAATTGTCTGTGCCTAGCAGGCCAGTGACGCCTGGCACAGTTGAGAGGATCCCAGGGGGCTGATGGAATATCTAAACTAAATGGGCCATTCTTTAGAACATAGAGTGTTCAAAACTGTGCTAACCAAGAAATAATGAGGGCTTTTAATTGGTGAACTTTCAAGTGGATGTATATCTAGATCTTCCTACAGACCTAGCCATGTTGCTCAGCAGCTCCAATGGCTTCAGGAAGTGCACTTGCCACTTTTGGAATGCTGTGTGAACATGGCTGATACGGAGTGAGTGTGAAGGTGTCATACTTGTAAGTCACACTTTAAACAGGGATTTCTTCAACCCATTTCATTTAAGTCTATACTACAGACAAAAGTTGAGCTGAAGAAATTCCATAACAGTAACTAGTGGCCCAAAAGCATTGATTTAAAAGCTACACTCCCACGTAGAATGAGTTGGCAACTTCCCACAGCAGTTTGATGAGAAACAGCAACATAGTGGAGCAAAACACAAAGCCTAGGATTTAAAAAAAATAAAAATAAAAAAACACCACCTCAGCTCAACCTGTTTTCATCACTAGGTAGGCAGCAGATCACTGAGCTAAAGTATTTAATGTAGACAATAGTGCTGTGGGGGAGGGGCCGCACTTGAGTGTGCCTGAAATGAAATAGAAAACCCAGGAAAGCACAAAGGATATAACTACAATTTCTCTTTCTTGAACTGCTTCTTTGGGTGCTCATCATATTCTGGAACATGCATAGAAGACATTCCTGGCCTTCCATTTATAATTTGGTGTTTCCATCATAAATCAACATAGATCTGTGTATGTGTATTTTAATTGCTCTGGAGCTGTCAGTGGTAGGAAGCTATTTCCATTACACCATATTTCCAAAACAAATCAAAGCAATTATTTCCATTGTATCATACAGGAGAACTAAGAAAAGGCGATGAACAACATTTGTCTATCAGTCAACTGCACCATTGTGTCTTTCTTCATTTAAAGAGGATTGAGTGCATAGGAAGACAGCATAATGGAAGATAGACTGCCCTCTGGAATTATGTTTTCTGGATTCAAAACATAGCACACTTCTCCTTGGCCAATGTATGTCACTAAAGTTCCTTTTCTGTAACATGAAATTAACAGCAGTGGTTGTGAGGACCAAATGATAGCGCATATGCCGGGCATTCACCATAGTGCCCCATGGAAAGAATTCAACTGTCTTGGCAGTCACTTTTATTGATAGCATTATCACCCAAGCAAAGAAAATACTTGACTCAATAGAAGACTGAATTATCTTAACTCACGTGCATACAGTCATTAAAATAATCAACATGGCAATCATGCATTAAACACCCACCAAAGAGTGAATTCACTGAAAGAATGGCTAGTTCATCACACGGATGTGCTTTGGGTATGTTATATGACATGTATGAGTCATTAATGTAGGATTTGCCTTAGTTCACTATGGTGTACCTTTATACTATAGCCAAAGACACAGATTGGCATGGCTGTGTATGGCGTGAGAGAGGAAGAAACTAGTCATTACCTTGGCTTCCTCCGAGAGTGGCTAGTCTGAAGACTTCTTTGAGGGTGAGGCTTCTCTCATTCACCTTATTGATTAAGAGGACATTGGAAACCATCACTGCTCTTCTGATGGCATCAAGCATGGAATAGGAGTAACCACCAGCCACATCTATGGTAGGAAAGATAAGCCAAAGCAGTAGCTTTATGAAGATGGATAGAATAACATGTATGCATGTTGTTCTCTTCCTCTGGTCTTAATGACAAGCATTCTACTTTTCAATTTCTAAAAGTCTTCTCATCTGCAAACATATAGCTATAAGCCAACATTTAAATGAATTCAAATGTCACTTGAATAAAAGCAGAAGTGGTCACTATTTTCAGGAAGGAAAAGGACAGACAAGAAGGAAGCAAGCATGAGAAGGGGCACAAATGAGAACAAAGTAATGACAATACAATATCAAAATGCTCTAACAAAATCCACTACTTTGCATGCTAATTTATAAAAACTGCCTTTTGTTAAAATCAAATATATTCCAGAATTAGCCTCTCGGGTTGCTCAAAACAACACAAGTCTTGTGACTCAACACAATAGAAATGACTTCTCTCATAGTTTTGGTGGTCAGACGTCTACAATCCAAGTGTCGGCAGGGCTGGCTGGGGAGTGTAACTCAGTGACAGAGTGTGTGCTGAGACAGTACAAGGCCAGCACTTCAGACCCCAGCACCACTGAAAGTGTCAGTAAGGACCTCAACCTTCAAGAAGAATCCTGATTTGTTCCTTCTAGCTTCCATGCCTCATGGAGAACTGGGCTTACGGCAGTAACTCCAGTCTCTTGTTTCATGTTCGCATCTTCTCCTGGGTCTTTGTTGCTTTCCTCTTCTGTCTCTTATAAGCATTGATCATTGCACTTAGGAGCTACCCCAGTTCAGAATGAGTTCATCTTGCCAGCCTTACCTGGACTCTTATCTACAGAAACCTTTAGTCCTAGTATGACCATAGTTAGAGGTTCTAGTGGACTTCCTTTGGGGACCACAACTCAACCCACTATAACATCCACATGGCTGATAAAGAGATATATATCTATTTCTTGAACACTCACAGAAATTACTCAAATGTGACTATGAAAAGTTTATAATGTGATTTAACATAAACTCACAATTGTATATGTTTAAGAAATGTCCAAGTGTTATTCCAATCTAGATGAAAAGTTTAGAAAATTAAAAATCCATTTTTTTAAAACAATAATTCTTTAGAAAGCTTTAGAATGAATGTAAGTTCATTATACTAAGCTTTAGGAACTTAGCACAATAAATAATCAAAGCTGATATGGACAGTTTTCCATACTGGTTGGCATTACAGAATTAGAAATGAAAGTTTTAGTGACTCAGATTAAGCCCCTAGTCATAATAAATTGAAACACTACCTTTGGCAGAAACAAATGCATGTTATGAAATGAGTTGATGTAATGGTCAAGTAAGATAACATGTTTTATTGGAGAATACATTTTATAACTAATCAAATATCCATTATCATTTTAAATATCCCTGTCATTTCTGGTAGACTTATATGATTATTAGTGCCTATAAATATTACAATTATGAAAAGTAATTGGTTATTTAGTAGCAATTCTGGATTATAGCTGAGTTTTATGTTCAACTGTCTTATATGTCCTTAGGCAAACTTGTATATTTTTTTGTAGAGTACTTTTTTTAAATCTAGAATAGTACTGCTAGAGGATCATCTGGTTCCCTGAAAAGTTTTATCACAGCTACTTAAGTTATTAGTCTATATTAATAGAAAATAATCATGGCTTGGGAGACAGCTCAGTCAGTAAAATGCTTGTCATACAAGCTTTGGGGCCTGTGTTTGATCCAAAAGACCTATGTAAAAAGTTTGGTATGTTGGCATACTGGGAAGGCAGATACACATAGAGCACATGAGACTTAACTGGCAAGCCCCAGGTCCCATTCAAAGACCCTATCATAGTACCTAAGGAAAGCTATCTGAGGTTGATCTCTGGTCTCCATGTACACATGTGAAAACATGCTGTACACACACACACACACACACACACACACACACACACACACACACACACTATAAGCACAAACACTTGGACACACACAAAATAACAAGCATGCATTAAGTCTTTTATGTGTAAAAATTTCATGTAAATTTAAAAAAGTGAAATAATTATAAAATAAGCAATTATAAAATAATTATAAAATTAATTGCCAAATAGCCAATTGTCATAAACCAGTGTTGTGTCATACCAAGAATCAGTATAATAACAACACAACATCGACTTAACCAATCCTCCATACAAACATGTAAGGTATCTGCTATTACCCACTCCATTTTAGAGAAAAAAAATATCATGGAAACTTTTGAGAGGCAGCAAAGAGATCATGGCTACATAGGGTCACAGTAAGAAACAAGATGGCTGCCTTGCTTGTTGGGCAAGAAATCAGGACTGGCAGGGCAGCAAGAGCAAGAGCTGTGTGGATGTCCACACTCAAAGAAATTTTGCTGTGAAGAAAGGCAGCAATGTGGGGCAGGAAGCTGATGGGGTTGTCAGGGTAAGAGAACAATTACATATGATGGTCTGAAAGGGTCAAGAGAGATTTTAGATGGTTGTGTATTGGTAGGGAGAGTCCAGTAGATAGCACATAATGATGGGAAAGAATGTATGTAAATTTGGTGATAGGAACTGAAACAGAGATTTCTGATTTATTTTTATATCCTTGCAACGAGCTACAAGAAGAGGCTATGAGCTGGGAATGAGGAGGGCTTGAGCTGCAACAGAATATTTTAGGAGAAACAAGAGGGATAAAAATCCATCTTGGATTAAGGAGACAGATACTTATTAGAGAAATATAATTATCTCTGTTGCCAGTGTTGAGGGCTGCTTGGAATTTGAGCACAAAATTTAATGTGAAACCCACTGTTCTCTCCAGCTACTCCTAAACACCCAGCTGTAGGCATAGGAAGGGGAACTGTTGAGGTCATCTAGGGCCGGGCTTTTGCAAAGTGAACACATAGAAAATGAAGAAGAGATATTGTCATATCTGCTGGGATCCAAGAGAGCAGCTTTGGGAAGGCAGGAAGAAAACAAGGCATTACTAGACCAAAGTCCACAATAAGAGCAAAGCCTGTTGTTCAGGGAGTATTTTAGTTAGGTTTCTATTGCTGTAATAAAAACCAGGGCAAAAGCACCTTGGGGAGAAAAGGGTTTATTTGACTCACAGGTCAGAGTCTTTATCAAGAGAAGCCAAGGCAAGACCTCAGGGCAGGAGCCTAGAGTCAGGAACCAACACAGAACTATGGAGGAATGTTGCTTACTGGGTTCTTCCCCACAGCTTGCTCAGTTTTCTTTCTTATACAACCCTGGACCACCTGCCCAAGGAAGTACTGCCCATGGTGTCCAGAGACCTCCCACATCAACCATTAACTAAGAAAGTGCCCCAGTCTCATGGATGCAATTTCTCAGCTGAAGTTCCCTTGTCCCAGATTACTCTAGCTTGTGCCAAATAGAGAAAACTAAGCATCCCATGAAGTGATGGCACCATCACTTTAGGATAGGGAACATGGGACACAGTGGCTCCATGTACATCATTTTAACAAGCTTATACATCATGCCCTTTTTCTTGATAATTCTTCAGGTAGTTTTCTTTATACACAGTAATCATTCTAGATCCCAAATTCCGAAATCCCAACTGCAGGTGACAACATACTAGAAAATTTCACATCTGCTATCATGTGACATAGGTGTACTTGAAATGCACTATAAAATTGTCCCAGTCTGTGCATATGATCTATTTGAAATGTAAAATTACCCATTTGTGTGTATAAGCTATATGAAACATAAATGAATTCCAGATGAAGACCTATGCCCATTCCCCTAAATATCTTTTCCTTATGCAGCATATATCACTTAAAAGTTTTAAAATATATTAAAATATACAAATAATGTAAGGAGTACAAAACCAAAACTCAAGAATCTACTGTCCAGTTTCAAAAACAATTAAGTGTTTCCAACAAAGGAAAATCTTTTTGACTTTCCATGAGTTACTTTTAATGTTGTTAGCCTTTTCTCTTTACAACTTCTAAAATAATTTATGCAAGAAGCTGTAGTGTATCTTTTGATACAAATCCACTTCTCTGGATTCCCTGTCGCTGTCACTGTTCTAGATCTGACTGTTCAAACCTCAATCTGAGCTGAAGCATATCACCTGCTCTGGTTACTGCTTTTTTTTATTGTTATTGTTGACACATATTGATTGTACAAATGAGTGGATTTTGCTGTGGCAATTCTATACATGTATATATCTTATCAATCTTTGATTGTGTCCCTCATCCTTTCTTTTCCCACCTTCCCTGTCCTCATGGTCCCTTTTCCAGACCCAGAGAGCCTATTTTCTACTCTCAGGTCACCTTTGGTTTTTGTTTGTTTGTTTGTTTGTTCCCAGGTAAATGTAGGAATATATGTGACCTTGTCTTCTTGAGTCTGTTTTCTACTGTCAGGCCATCCTTGTTTGTTTCCAAAGGTAGGAAGGCATGTGACCTTGTCTTCCTGTAACTTGGTGCTTGGCTGGTGCCAGCTTCCCCTCGCTTCCCAGCTTTACTAACACCCCTGTATAATGACATTTCATTTCGATGCATCACTAATAAAAGAGACTTTGAACGGGGTCATAAAAAGAAATTTCCCAAGCCTTTATGTATATTTGAGAAGTTTGTTGTTTTTACATGTGAAGGAGAGATGACGAGATGACCAGATATATGAATAGTATTTTTGATTAATCATTCATTTGCCTTTGGTATTATTTGTACCACCACCACAAAAAAACAAAAACAAAAAAACTGGCTTTTAGCTGTGCTTTTTTTATTTTGTTTTGTTCTGTTTTGATGTAACTTTATATTCCCAGATTCTTGTTTTGTGGCATTTTTGTTTTGCCACAATGCTCAGTTATGATTTAGCACACAGGGGTGTGTAAGCCCTCTTAACACTGCCCTTTCCTAAGCTCTGCCTATGACCTACTGTAGCTACCCCAGTTCCTCATGAACCAGGAACATCCATCTCAGTACCATCTTTCAGCCTTCCCTTGTGATCTTTGCTCACTGTCTGTCCTCCACACCATCCTGTGACACATGTTCTTCCTTTACTCTCAGTTTTAGTCTCTACTGACTGAATTTTCAGCAAGAATAATTTAATTCTTTCCTTAAGAATTTTGTGAATTGGTATGTGTGAGGTCAAGTGCTTGTGTAAGCCAGAAGATGTTAGTTAGGGACCCCGGAGCTGGATAAGGCTGTTGTGAGCTGTTAGACATGGGTGCCTAGTTTCTAAACCATGAACAGGGAAACTGGCTTTGAGGTAGGTAAAGACTTCAAAATTTCTCCCTATTTCACTGCTGTTTATTATTAAGACACCCATCCCTAGCAACCAATGAAGCTCACGTGCCTTAAGCACAGCCCCATACCTACGAATCAGCTACATCAGAACAGTTATTCATCATTGAGCTCCAGATGGAGGCTGCTTACCTGTCCCCAGCCCTATCTTCACTTTATTCTTCAGGACTTCAAGCACATTCAATAAGCCACTGCTCAGCCTGGAGAAAAAGAAGATGCAAGAAAAAGGAGAGCCAGTGATTTAACAGCATGCAGAAACTGTCAAAGGTGGCGGCGGTCACACTAAAAACTGATATCTTATCTTTATTAGCCCTAAGACCAACAGTCAATCACACCAGGCCAAGAAGGGGTAGAGTAGAGAAGATCATAAGAATCTGCTTCCTGCTTCCTGGCCCAAGGTCACTCTTGCCAGGGGGTACAAAGCATCAAGGGACTACATGGGAAACACTGAAGAATTAAGCTTTATAGTTAGTCTAGAAATCTAATAAAGCTATAGGCTTCCTAGACAACTCCTCCTCCTATAATAGAAAATGTAAATTACAAAGCATCACATTCCTCTATATCCAGAACAATGTATTACCCAAAGAAGAAGCAATTTGTATTAGGGAACAAAAATAATAGCCCAGTGTATGATGCTTTGAGCATCAAAAGCAACCTCAAAAATCTCTCCGACCTCCTCCCTCAAGTCTCTAAACCACACAAGCCAGAATCTCACTGGGCTGTGATCTAACTTAGTAGTACAGTGCTTATTAAGCATACATAGGACCCAGGTTCATCCCCAACAACAATAACAAAACAACCAAAATTTCCATCCTTTTTCCCTATGCAAGCCACAAACCCTAAAGAGAGTGTTCTAATCCTCCATCATTATGACTCATGCTGTCCAGGAAGGAATTCTCAGACATATCTTGGTTGATATACAGTTTCTATTTTGGAAGAGGTCTTGCCCAATTCACAGAAGGAAAACAATATGACACAAGGACCAAGAAGATCTGAAGATGCACTCCCCAGTATCCCAAGTTGATAACTTGGCATTAGGTTAAAACCTCTTTGTCCAATTATACTTCTGTGTGGTTGCCATGCTCCTTCACATCAAAGCATAAAAATAGGGGAGGGGCTCTCTGTGCCCATTGGTCTTCATTTGATTGTCCTGTGAACACTCTGAGTAAGCACGTTTGCTGGGCTTTTCTCTCATTGGTGTCTCTTATTGTAGAAGGTTGGTGATGACCTTATGACAAATAAGTAATCTTCCCTCATGTTTTTCTTCCTCTGTGTTTACAGGGTCAGTGATGATACAACTAAAGAGGATGGAAACCATTGAAATGGGGTCTGATAGTTGAAGTGCTGCTTCCTAGGATAGCAACTAGGAGAGAGGGTTCCTGGCCTGAATTTTGAACCTCATCATCTTCATCCCACTTGATCGAGGGAAAGACAAAGGAAAGCTAACTCATGTAATTAGGCATCCAAGAGGATACAGTGGCCAAGGGGCTCTGAAAGATATGCATTTCCAAAGCCCCTATATGCACAAGGAAAACCTGAAACTCTTGAAGATCCACATTTATTTGAAAAGCTGGATCATGTTTTAAGTTAGAGTATATTCATCCATGGGCTGTTTAATTCTTGTCCCTAGGCTGTAGATAAGGTCACCAAGCCATGTGCATTTACTTCCTGTTTGAAAACGGGGTCTTCTGAGACCTTTCAAACAACTAGAAAAATGTCCTGTGTCTCTAGGAGCCCTTCTTACATTATCATGAACATACATCTGTGTCCTTCACAAAGTCCCTAAGCTTGCAAATACTTTCATCTCTTTGCTGAGATTTTCTACCCACTTCTAGAGGCTACTCTGTTCCTCCACAGTCATTCTATCCTTTCTGCCATTCTTGAGTGTTTGTTATTTTCCCTGTGCCATCACTTCTTGAGGTGGACAACTGATCATTGCTGGACTCTAAAAAATTAGACAACAGGATCCCACTGTGGTTAACTGGTTTGATGTTACTGACATCTTCCCTGTGTGCTGGACTCCCAAGCATCACTGTCTAAAATCAACTCCCACCCAAATACACTATTTCTACAATTCTGAGTTTCTAATCCAGCATCTATGGACTAGATCACATTATCCACAATGTCTCTAAGCTGAGACACAACATTTTTATGTTTATGGGCCTTTTTGTTTTGCTGAAGATACAAGCCATAGATTTCAATTGACTCATTCATGAATTCATAAACTTTAAGAAGGGACACCAGGTAGTGACATACACCTTTACAGGTGTATCTCTGTGAGTTCAGGTCAGTCTGGTCTACAAGAGTGAGTTATATTACATAGAGAAACCCTGTCTTGAAAAGGGGGGGAGAGGGAGAGAGAAAGACAGGGAGGGGGCATGTTTCAAATAAAGTGCTTGTATTTGGGAATTAAATAGGATTAAGTCCATCCTGGGTTTTCCTATATAAGCTGTATCTCAATACATTCAGTAGCATTACCAAGTGCTGTAGAGCCATAACCCTTTTCTAAACTCTAGAGCAGACTGTCTCTCTGGGACATGCATTCTTTCAGTCAGTTCTCAGCTATAAAACTTGAATGCTATTGATTTTAAACTGTTCTACTTCCCCTTGCTGTATGTATGTGCAAATGTAGAGATTTGCAGAGATGAGGAAATCTTTAAATGTATACCCTGCAACAATGCCCTCTTTCAAATGCCTTCTTTCTTCCCCTTAGCACATCTACCTGGTTCCTTCCTCATTCAAACCAGCTATAGAAACAGATCCTATGAGAAGGAACTGAGAAAACAGAAAATACCTATCCACACTACACATCGGTAATCTGCCAAGCAATTGTTGTCTACTTACGATAAGTTAGAGTTGGGACAATGTGCAATGGATGCTCCTCGTTCACTGAAGATGTTAAGCTCTTCTTCAGAAAGGTAGCAGCCATGTGCCATGACTGTCTAGAGAGAAGAATAGCCAACATGGAGTTTAGCACTAAAAAAAAAATGTTTGTACTAATACCCATGGCTATGAACTACAAGAAGATACAGAAACAATGGCTTGGCTACAATGGTCTTTGCAAAGACAGTTTCTATTATTTGAAAGGACAAAATCCCTGTATCCAAATGTACATCAGAAAAGTCTCAACAAATGTGTATGTTCTATCTATCTATCTATCTATCTATCTATCTATCTATCTATCTACCTACCTACTTACCTACCTACCAACCTACCTATCTACCTATCTATCCATCTATTATAGTAGTGTTGGTAATCAGGCCCAGTACTCTATCACTGAACTACAATCTAGCCCCAGCTCTTAGATTCTTTTGGCTGATTTACAATGCAGTACAGAGATAGCCAGCTCACCATGGCATAGGAAATCCAGCCAGAGTGAATACATTATTATGATTTTACCATTTCTACTATAGAAAACTTTTAAGTATCCTCTTTTCTAAATCTACCTGATGTACTTCCTATAGGCTGATACCTGTGTGTATTCCAATCAGGACTTTCTAAAAGAACATAGAAGTTGTAAATATGATTTTGTAAAGAACTATGGGTTAATTATTGCAGATGGTTTGTTTTGAAGATGGAATCTCTCTATATATAGCTAAGGCTAGCCTTGAACTTACTATAGAGCCCAAACTGGCCTCACACTCATAATTTTCCTACCTTAGCCTCTGGAATGCTGGGAGTTTTGGCAAAAGCCACCATATCTGAGAGAACTGTTCTTTATTTCTGTTACTAGTTTAAATATAGGCACCAATAGTTCTTGATATAGACATGAAATCAGGATACTCATATCATAATAACTTTTAGTTAAGGAGGCAAACTTTGTTTAAGAAAGCAGGTGCCACATGTTGGAAACCTCTCTAAACTCTCATGTTGGTAAGATTTGTGAGTTTTCAAGTAACATTTAATTCTTTAAAATGTTTTCTCATTAATATAAAACCTATACCCAATTGCCTTCTCCTTTGGGAGGCATAGTTCAATTGGCAAATTTATTATTTAAATAAAACTTTCTGAACCTCCATGAAAATAAAATTAACATGAAAATTTAAGGTTAATTTATTAATCATATGGTAATACATGTAAAGGAGGATAAAGCTTCCTGTGTAAAATTTAAATTATTTATGCAAAGTATTAACTTTTTAAATCACTTACATTCATATCTCCTTTTGTGTAGTCACTAAGAAATTACTTGCTGCAGTAAACTCTCAAAGCAGTGTGTTCATTTCATGGAAGGCCAAGGCCAAAGGGTATACTGCTTTAATGAGGTCCCTTGCCACTCACATTAATTTTAATTATAGAAAGTAATACATACTCATTTTTCTAAACTTCAGAGCTTAAAAATTGCTTTTATCATTCACTGTGTATCTCTGGACAGTTTTTATATGTGAAATTACACCAAGACATATGTACATGCATATCCAACTATATTAAATGTTCTTCTGTGGGAGCATGTATAGTTTGTTCTTTGTGAATGCTGGATGGAATTCTAATAATGTAAATTCTATGATTTAACCAATTCTTTGGGGATAGTTATTTTCAAACTTTCCTTAGTTATCAACACACCACTTTTACACTCTAAAGAATTATCCTTGAAAATGGGTCTTCTGGGTCGGAAAAAAGCCCAATCATCTTCTAACTATAAAAGCTTCATTGGAAAAAAGGTCATTCTTACCATCCAATGGAAAACATAGATTTAAGGACAGGGATGACACACCAGGCCCATATCAACACAAACATAGATAGATGATAGATACACACATACCATGAAGACACATAGACACATACATATACACACACACACACACACGTATACACAAACACACTTTCAAATAGGCATACATATATATCTACACACATACAAATACAACATACATATCTACACACATACAAACACACATATATCTACACACATGTATACACACAAACATACACATAGACACACAGATACACACACACACACACACACACACACACACTGGGTTTACTCTAGTTTGGAAAATGCATGCATCTTGCAGAACTGTGATTACTTCTGAGATTTTGAAATTTAAAGGGTATAGCCTGCTTTACATAGATTATATCATGATATTGAACTTACCTTGTTTGTCAGGAGATTATTTTTATCATAGACATCTGTGTAGTTTTTGTAATCAGGGAATAAACTTTTCACAGCTTCAATTTCTTCTCGATTTTCACTTACATGGCTCTGAAAACAAAGAAAGAATGGTTTCACTTTTTTTCTGTAAAATGTTTGACATTATATCTCCTGTCTCAACATGCCATTGCTAGTTTCTACTTGCTGAACTTGCTGATGTAGACAACTATGGATGAAAACATTAAAGTCTGTACTTACTCATGTTTAATTTCCAATAACTATAATGCATCCTCTATGACAATACACACAACAAAAAAATGAATATCCTGAGCATGGCTCTGAGTGTGTGTGTGTGTGTGTGTGTGTGTGTGTGTGTCAGAGAGAGAGAGAGCTTTCCCTCAATACTTTAATCTATAGCAAGAAAAGTCTATGTCCTCTCTGAAGAGCGTCTAGTGCCTTGCTTGTAGCAACCTGCCTATAAGAATTCAATGGCCACTGGAGATAACTCCATGGTTCAATCAGAAAAAAACTAAAATTTGAACAGAGAGCTGGATTCTGAGCCTAATTACATGTCTTGAGCAAGCCAGATCTCGTCTTTAAGCTTCCATTTCTCATTGCTCAATACAAGTGTTGCCCTAGGTAAGTCATTTTCCATGTCTTAGGCAGATGTATTAGTCATATTTCAGGTGTGCAATTTCACAGAACCTAGTGCACCAGAAGCAGAAGAAAGGCTGGGCTCAGGGCCTGCCCTCAGTCTACCTCTTTTCTCAGCTTTCTGAATGATGTTTTAGCAGGAAGGAATATGAAAATGCAGAGCTGGGCAATCCTGACTTCATCAGGAAGGAGCTCATGGGACTTTTCACACAAACCTAGTGAGTAGGCAACCACACCAACCTACCATGGGGGCACCTGAAATCTGAGGGGAAACAAAGTGCTTTGCACTGGAGTAGCCCCCCAAGCCTCTGAAAAAAAAAAACCATTTCAGACCCAGGGTTGATGAGATCAGATCACAGAACAACTCACGAGCCAACAAACCCTTGCAAAAAAAAAACTCTGCCAGGCCTCATTTTCCATGCTAAGAAGAGACATAGCAAGATGACCAAAAGATCCCAACCAGTGCTGTACCTACATCTGATTCTACCCATGGTAGGGAGTAAATCCCAGTCTATCAGTGAAATGCATGGACATAACCCAAGGGAAGAACAACTGGCTGATTTGATTGGATAATACAATTAGATGCCTATGGTCCATCCCTTTAGTCAGAGCTGGTCTCCTGACGGCACTTCTTACTCTTCTGCCTCCATCTCTGCTGCTGTGCCCCAGTGCCCAGGCTGTGCCTGGGATCAGCCTCAGGTTCTGTCAACTGCACTGCATCTTCAGCCTAAGGATAGACTTCTTACATGTCTTTTTCATTTTATTTTCATGTAGTTTTTAATATTGTCTGCATCTTTCTCTCTCTCTTTTCTTTTTCCTTTTTTTAGAATACAACATACTGTTTCCAAAGTGGAAATCTTATCCAAATTTGGAATTTTATTACCAGAGCATAATTGTAGGGGGACTGAATCCAAATTCCAAATATCAGAAGCCACAACAGTAATCATGGGGAAGACACACTAATGGGTCCTATGGACATACATTTTAAAAATAAATAAATAAAAGTAAGCAATCAATATGCTGCCTTCACCCCAACTTTCCCTTCCCTCTAAGACTGTCAGCTCTGAAAGGGGAAATTTTAGTGCAGTGTGTAATTAAACTTGAGTGGGGGAGGGGAGCTCCTAATTTTAACCCAGCTGTGAGACTTTAAAAGCATTTTATTGCTAAATTGCAACAACTTAATGATAAAGGAAGATATACTTTTGTTCCTGGTTTTAAATTAAGAAACTCAGAACAAAAGGATTTTAAATGCACATTTGTAAGGTAGAAATTAAGTTCTTTTTAGTTTTCAAATAATAATTGGTTCCTCCACAAATGAAGGTCTAGAACACCAGGAAAGCATCAAATGAAGGCAGGAAGGAAATGTGTTAAACGTATTTTATTAGGAATGGGTAGTCTGACCTTGACCTTGCTATCCTTTATAAAGTTGTTTTAGCCTGTGTAAGGCAGATGAGAGAATATTGAGGATGAAAATAGCTTCAAGCGCCTGACCTGCTAAACTGACTGACTGGGTTAGGTGATGTCAGTCAGGGCACATCCTGCCCTGAAATTCTTTGACTCTAGGAAATCTCAATAGACAAACTACAGATTATTAGAGATGACCTGAAGGTACTAAGAGATCTTGAAGGTATCTCTTAGGCACAAACCAAAGAAAAATCCCTACCTGGATGTGCAGATCATGGGTCTTAGCGATTTTACCAAGTTTACTCATCAGGGTCTCCGTGCAAGAAAGTGTAAAGCGCGGGGTCACTATGGGTTTCACCCTCGAGTACTGGAAACAATAAAAGAAATTTGTGAGGAAAATATGGAGATTATGAACACATAGCACATTCCACAACGATGTGATTTTACAGTTTCAATATTGAGGAAAATCTCCAATTTTGAATAGACGGATGTTCTAGGTTCCAAAAGACAATTCATGAAGAATACAGTACTTTCTTTAGCATCAAGTTCACAGAAGAAAGTTCTGTCTCTGAGACAGGCATTCCCTTCTCATTATCTGAGATGAGACCTGCAGTAGGGACACTACATGTGAGGTAGTGAGGCAGGTTTCCCTGCCTATATCTTGAAGGGGAGTGCTGGCTGCATCCTTACTCAGAGGTCCTTAGTGATACCTCAGTGACTGACTGGCGGGATAAAAGGATCCCTATAAGGAGTGTAAAAAAAAAAGGGGGGGGGGTCTACAAGCATTATCTACAACTCACCCATGGGTAAACTTCAAGAAATTCTGAGCATTCCTATGGCTTCCAGTATAACAGTGAAGAATCATGAGGGAAGGAAGGACTAGGTTTTCACACTATGCTTGGAGGCAAGAAATAGTACTTTCTTCATGGACCGCACAATGCCAGAGCAAAGCACATTCCTGGCTGACTATGTGTGGGACTCATGTGCCATATGTTTACAGAGCAAGGTACCCTGTAGCCAGGGCACTGAGTCTAAGTATAACCTGCTTCTCAGTCCACACTGAAGACTAGCAGTGGACAGGACCAATGAAGAAGGCAGCAAATAGGTCCTCAATGTCCGCAAGCCACCCGCCTCTTTGGGTCACAGAACAATTCACCCTCTGCAGAGACCAACGTCACAAAATTAAAAGTCCCTAGACCAGGGAGAGGAAAAGAAGTGAGGATTGAGGGTGAGGTGAGTTCAGAGGGTGACTCTTGAGGACAGTGACTGGATTGTCACACCTTAAATCATGGTTTGTATTTTAAATGTCACCCCAGACTCATGTAGGATGAAAGTTCTTGGCTAATAGTGCTATTGGGAAGTGACAGAACCTTTGGAAGGTAGGGTCAACTAGAAGGAAGTAGACTGTGGCCTCCTGAAAGCCATGAGGTAGGCAACTTCCCTCTGACTGGGGTTTCTACCATCATGTTCTGCCTATTCACAGGCCTAAAAGCCACCATGCCAAGTGATTATAGACTAAAATGTCTGAAACTCTGAGTCGAAGCAACCTTTCCTTTCTTATAAGCTTCTTACCTCAGGTATTTTGTTACTGTCACAGACAACTGAGCAACACAACTCAGACTAGACTAACCACAAGCTTAGTGAACCCGGAATGGAATTCACATACCTGACTAAATTTGGGTTCTGTGCTGCATACAGACAAGGGGTATGGAAACCAAAAACAAAGGCTATACACAATATCCCTGGAGACATAAACAAGTTCAGTAGACATAAAATTTGCATCGTGTTTTAATAGTGAATAATCACATCCACTAAAATCAGATCATTGTTCCTGACTACAAAACTGTGCTTAAAAAAGGGAAGGTCCAAATATAGTGTCCTACAAGCCTTCATTGGAAAGCAAAAGCCAGAAGTTTCTATGAATTTGACCTTTTCAGACTGCACATACAAATGAGAGCATGCAGTACTTCTCTTCTGAATTGGGTCCATTTAATGTAACATAATATATTCCAGATTCATCTATGCTGTCTCAAGTAGCAAGATCTTTTTTATGAATTAATACTATGCCATTACACATGCATATGTTATATATATATATATATATATATATATATATATATATATATATACACATACATACATACACACACTCATGGGATATAAGAGACATATTGACATATTTAGATTGTATACATATCCACATGTATGCATATATGTATATATAAGCATGTATGTATAGTTTTCTTGTATATATGTATAATGTACAAATGAAAAAATTGGTTTTCTTTATCTAGTCATCATAGACTTCTAGGTTGTTTCCATATTTGAGGCTATGGTGCATAAAGCTGCTGTAAATGTAGGATATACATCTCTCCAAGATATCCCATTTTATTTCCTTGGACAGATACTCAGAAATGGGATCTCTGGATCATATGAGGCAATATTGATCAAAGGGCACAAGTTCTCAGCTATAAAATGAAAAGATACCTAAGGCTATTGTGTAGTCCTGCCATTGCACATGTGAATGGATCTCACTGTGACCATCATCTAACACTATGTGTGTAAGAAGCCATCACACTCCACACCTTAGTACTCAGTCTTTGTCAGACATGTTCAATGTTAAAAAATATGACCTCTCTGAGCTGAGCCCCTGGGTACACTGTGTCAACAATCGAAGGTTCTAGGAAAATACCTCTTAAGTATATACTAAGCCATAGGTACACAGACTAAGCCATCAAATAACTTATCGGATGCTACAGCTAACAAAGCAGCACTCTGGGTGAAAACTGAGCAAATTCACTTACGTTCTTCTGAAGCATTTCTGACACAAATCTGCAATGAAGTGACAAACACAAAGTTAGGAAAGTCAATCATTTTCAAAGAAATGTTTCAACAGGGTGAAAATATGATCCTTACAACATCCTGATTTCCATGAAAACAGTGGGTTTCGCCACCACCAATCAGAGATTAACAAGCAATAATTACTCCACTTTTCCTTTGATAGCAAAAGAAGAAGAGGAAAATCACAGGCAACATCATCCTATGGCATCCTGTGGGCCTTTCTGAGTATCCACACAGCCCCCAGCCTGTGCTAGCGGCTCTAATTCTGTGTAATAGAGTTACAGTGTACTGTGTTCCACGGATGATAGGTCCATGGACTCTTGGGCACACACAGGCACTTAGGAGCCTTAGACCATTCTTCTAGTCTCCTCTTATGTGGAAGCTAATCATGCCCCCAGTATCACTATCAGTCTCTGAGGACAAAGTCTGGCAGGAGGTAGGTACTGGAGGAAGGTGGAAGACAACGACAGAGGGGTTGCCAAGTGTGTGTGGAATGGGACAATTGGTGAAGCTAGCACTTCTGTTTGAACAGTGACAACTGTCCTACAAATTGGTTATCCCTGCCCTGGCCAGTAAAGACTTGTTTAGCTATTAGTTTTCTTCTGTCTGGTACTATTTCAGACTAAAGTGTGAATCGAGAGCCTGGGGGTGTAGCTCTGACAGACACTTGCCAGACATGAACAAAACCCTGGGCAACATCTTCAGCCCCTGGGAAACAAACTGTGAATTAAGGTAAAGTGACCACAGCAGTGGCTCATGCAGGAGCTGATTGTATGGTGCACCCTTCTTCCTCTCACCTCAGCCCCCAAAAGGATAAATCTGAAGAAATGTCTTCTGTGTATCTCTTGGTGTAGGATACAATACAGTGAAATTCCTTGTTAAATATTCAAGATACCAGGGAAAGCCATGAAATATCATGTAAGAAAGGTACTTAAATGATCGATAAATCCCCCAACATTATATGAACATAATGAAAACTCATGAAATAACTGTAATCAAAAGCTATTGAGGGGTTGTAGATATGATCTGAGTATTTCATATGCACATAGCCACGATGGAAGCTACTAGTTTGTACAATTGATATTGTAAAAGTAATTTAATGATCATGGCACCATACTTAACAAATCTTGTCTCCTGGAGAAGCCCTAGCCTAACATGGGATACTAAGGGTAATATTTTTAAAATAAAGAATCCTTCATGTGTGGGGCTGGGGAGATGGTGCAGTGGGTAGGGGCACTTGCTATGCAAGCACAAAGACCTGAACTTGAATCCCCAGAAAGAAAGGAAGAAAGAAAGAAAGAAAGAAAGGAAGGAAGGAAGGAAGGAAGGAAGGAAGGAAGGAAGGAAGGAAGAATGAAAAAAAACCTCTGCATGCTTCTAACTCCAATGTTGGGGGAGCCAGGGGGATGCTGGGAGTTTCAGCTCAGCTGAAAACTTGCAGTTCAATGAGAGAGAGAGAGAGACCCTGCCTCAAAGGAGTAAGGTAGAGACTGGCAGAGCAGGACACCCAACATCTTCCTCTGGCCTCCATGTGTACACTACTACATGCATCCGTGTACACACACATGTGCAAACAAAACACACAGAAATATACATTTTTAAAGGAACACACCAATTTTATGAAATGGACTAAATCCACTTAGTGACCTTGACAGACTAACTAGAAGAGCAACTTAATCTGTTTTTCAACTTTAATTCTACATCTTAAGAAGACCCTAGAATGTGCTGATACATCCTGAGATTCTCGGACTTTAAGAGAATTGATGCGGCTGTGTAGGGACAAAAATGGAGGATGGGTGTTAGAAGAGCTGAGAGGAAGACTATGGTACACCAGAGTCACACAGGCCGGGAATCTGGAATATGTTCTGCTCTATTCTCTTAATGTCTTTGTCAAGAATCACTTTCTTGTGAATTTAAAGGCAGCCCTTCAAAAATATGCACTTAAGAAATCGAACCTTTCCTACCTAACTCTTAAAGAGATTGTGCACTGGAACATATTTCCATTTTTCAGAATAGTCTTTGGTGAAGGATAATTTACATATCATAAAGTTCACCCATTTTAAGCGCTCTATTCAATAATTGTAGCAAATTTACTGGGTTGTGGAGTTACCATAATAATACAAACTTTGAATTCTCATCACCAGAGTGAGATTCCCTGGGTCTATAGGCAAGAGATGGGCAATGTCGCTCACCTCCCCAGCATGGCAAACCTCTCCACTTTCTGTCTCACAGACTTGCAGTTTCTATATGCTCAGTATAAATGAAATGTTATAATATGTCCCCTTTTGTGTTCAGTCTGTTTTTCTTAGAATAGTAAGGTAGGGTGCGCATAGATGAGACTCCACTCACCCAGGGCAGTTCTGCTGAGCCTTACAAACTAGCCGGCCTGGGTCCTAGGCCTATCTGTGTGTGAGTCACTGACAGGCCTGCTGTGATGAATGTGGAGGACAGTATCCCTACATTCCTGCAAGCAGATTTCTTGAAGTCCTACCCTGAGATTGACACCAGTGTGTCCAGGGCACCTGCTCTGTATTCAGCATCTGTGGGTGGTGGCTTGAGGACCAGTCACATTAGAGACTTCATGTGGACCTGTTGCATTGTCTCTGCCCATACCATGTTTTGACATTTCTGTCTGCACTTGGTACTCCATCATTTGAGGTATAGATCACCCCTAAATGGGCTGTTCACATTCTCTGGTGAACCCACTCTCTACCTAGTGGCTCTAGAACAAGCCTTGGTCTCTACATTCAGTGTCTCCCTTGGCTGTATGTCACTGTTGGAAGTGTCTAGACCTTTTATTGTAAAGGGGCTATTTCCCACAAGTCCACAGATGTGGAAAAAAGGCATATAAAGAACACAAACTTCCTGCTGTGTGTCTGTGTTTCACCTCCTCATGTAACAATTCTGGAGAGGAGATATCCTAATTCTGTATTTGAATATGTTGTGGTCATTCCCAGGATGCATGAAGATTTTTTTCTCTTTCTATGGCAAGATAAAAGGATAGTTAATGATAGGCGGTTAGAACACATTGATCCAATGTAAAGAACTCTTACAAGTAAAGATGTATGAGCTAAGGGGTTTACTGTGTGAGTCACTGGGCCACTCTGCAGCTTCCATGCCAAAATTTTCTGTTTTGTTTTTAGGCTGTAGTTTAAATTTTGTTTTGTTTTGGGGGTGGAGGTGATGGGATGGGGAGATGAGTGGGATCTGGATGCATTATATAAAAAACTACAAGGAATCAATAAAATGTTTTCTTTTTAAAACACACTGAGTCTCGCATTGGTGTCTTTGCTAAAGAAAATGTCCCTGTTTTGTACTTCTTTTTGCGTCTCTATGCTTTATGCCAGGGAAGCTTATGTATTTTAGCTATTTAAAAAAGCACCTTTGTTTTGGTTTTTTAAAGAGTGTCTTATGTGGCTAAGACTGGCTTAGAACTCACAATCCTTCCTTCTCCATCTCCCACATGCTTGGATTGCAGATGTGTACCACTATGCCTGAGTCATTTTTACTGAAATGTCTTTCACTCATCTATAAATGGAACATTTTCCAAAACCTCTCATATGTTCTCTGCAAGTGAGTCCTCACACTATTATTCTTAAGCATATGCACGAATAAAAACTGCTTGTATATGCCTCCTGCCTCTCACACTAAGTATGACATGAATGAGGTCCTTGTCGTGCTTTAAGAAATTCTACATTTTAAGTCATAGATATTTTTTCATTCTATTAAGCCCTACACTAATAAAATGGTTTGGATGAGTGTCCCACACAGGTCCATGTGCCAAAGCTTGGTCCCCAGATCCATGCTAATGGGAAGTGAGGTATTATAGAAAGTGAAGCCTGCTAGAAGCATGGAGAGGATTTTTAAAATTCTGGCCAGTTTTCTCTCTGATTGTCCTTCCTGGCTTCATAGTAAGCAATGAATCCTATATTCACTCCTGCCTCATCAAAGGCCACTAGATCATGTACTGGGAACTTCTAGAACAATAACCCCAAAGAGACCTTTTCTCTCTTACATTTTTGGTTATGAGCCTAACTTTTAATGGTTGAGTCATCTCTCCAGCCCAAAACCTTTTCTTTTTATAAGTTGATTATCTCTGACATTACATCAGAGAAATGGTAAATGGACTACTCTAATGGCTGTGTTCAAATCACCCAGGCAATGTCAGGCTCCATTTTCTTATCATAAAAATAGACACCTTGTGGAGCTCCCTATGAGGATCAAGAATGGTACACAGGAAAGCTCTGTGAGCTATCTACTGACCACTGTCACATGTTTGAGCACTGTGGACTAACTACATACTGCAACAATCGGAACAGTCTATCACCGTGCTCAGAACCCAACTGGGTCCTAATGGTGTCAGCTTTCCTCTCTGTTTCAAATGCCATCAGAGTAGCAGGTGACTCGTCCATACAAATGAAAGCCCCAGGCATATTACCTCTCTGTCTCCTTGACCGACTCCTCAGTGGTTTCCTTGTATTCAGGAACCATGTCATTCAAGTCCATGCATACTTTGCCCACAAATGCTCGCTGTCCAAATTTATCTGTGAGGCACACAGAGAAAGAATCTGAAGATGTGTTTCTTTTCCAACATGTACTTTTTCTGTGGAATCTAAAAACACTTTCAAATTAAAAATACCCTTTAAAAAAAAAAGGAGACTGTTAAGGATCATCTCTCTGTCTTCACACTGTGACAAAAGCAAAGCCACTAAGTTCAAAGAATAGTAAACGGCTTCTACCCAGTCCCCAGCCCACTCCCAGCCTGCTGGAAAATAATTGAGTATTTTATAATTCTTATTTCCCTTTTGCTTTTGATTATGCATTTTGTCTATATACCAATGTCATCACTACCTTGACACTCATTTTCTCTCATGATACAAGAGGGGAATACCTCAGATCCTAGAAAATACACTCATATCCTCAATATACCAATTTTTTTCTCCCCCCCCCCATTCATTTCTTTCCCATCTGTTACTCTCCTGCCATCACTGGATCTAGTTCCTCTCCTTGCATGTCATGGCCCTTTCTAAATAAAGGGCAGCATATGAAATGTTAAGAACATGGATGCTGGGTGATCAACTTGGATTTGATTCCTTGCCCCTGGGATTACTCCAAGATGGCAGCTGTTGTCTGAGATCTAGACTCTAGTGTCCCAGAGTCCTCTACTCTGCGCAGGATTGTAAGAAATAGACAAAGAACAATGCACAAGGCTCACAGTGCTCAGATGACGTGGCATTGCTCTTCTTGACTATAACAGCATTGATATCGTTATCATTGACTAATGCCTATAGGCTGCTGGCAATGAAGCACCTTCTTCAGATATGGTGCAAGAACTCTCACATCAGTTGAACTACACAGGTGGGACTGTTTACAATGTCTCCTTGCTGTCACAAGTCTTTCAAAAGGCTTTTTTTAATATCTAGTTATCAGAATGATTCCTTAACATACCACACTCTCATCACATCGCTCACCTGGCCTGAAACCTTCTCTTGAGTCTCTGATGCATGCTCAAGCCCCTCTGTGGTCTGCTCCTGCCCATCCTCCTCTCCCTCCTGACCATGCAATGAATCTCCCTCCCCCTGTTTTGTCTTCCATGCAGTTAAAGGCCTCTTTCATGGAATCATTCCAGACAGGCTGTCTTTGCCTCTTCTGAGAACTTTTGCTTCTGTTTTCAGTGTCAGCCATTAGGCCTTTGGTATGAACTACCCTGGAACCCAACAACAGGGTAAATACATCATTAGCCAACAGTGTTTACCAAGTGCCTGCTAACTGTTAGGCACTGTACTGGGTAAGTATGGAATCATCAACCAAAATTCAGTCTCCATTTTTCTTCCCAGCTCTGAGGTTTTAGATATGGGAATATCTTTGAGCTTTAGTTAATCTGTCTCTGCTATGAAAGCATGAGTAGACATCAGAAGGCTATTTACAGCGGAGTGTTTTGTATATTATTTGGTACCTAGCAACAGAATTACAGGTATTAGTAAACTAACACTGTGTTCCTAGCATCTAGTACAATGCCCTGAATCTAGCTAACCACTAAGATCTATCTGTTCATTATAATGCAATAAACTCTTGCCACACCTACATTGATACACATGTGCTTAAAAAAAATCAATATACAAATTTCAGATCTATAAACATCATCCTGTGACCAGAATCCATATAGAAATAATTAAATCCTATAAACAATAAAAGCCCACTTAGGTGTCAAGGCTATCTTCAGACATTCAGATGCAAAGAGTACAAAGTGTAAATGTTCAAATTCTAAATCCAAAGGTACAACTTCGTACTGTGTAGGAACTATTGCCAGGCATGGTCTGGTTGTCTTTGCTTGATGTGCCCATAAATCCTGCTTTCAGCTGCTCACCTGTAATTTCCGCAAGGATCAGGGATGAGTCAGTGTGAATTGTTCCAAAGTAGCAAGCCGTGGTTGTGCCATTCTTTAGTGTTCTCCTCTAAAAATAAATCACAAAAATCCTGAATCGTATGTGCTCAGAAAAGTCACATGGCGCACACAGATGAAAATAGAAGTCTGCTTTTTAATTTTAAAATGTGTTTATTTAAAGGTATGCCATCTTGATGTGGAAGAGACCTAAGTAAATGGCAAAAGTATTTATATTCTAAAAGTGTGAGCTTAAGGAGAAATTGGTACTTTAAATTTCCTGGTTGTGTGTTTCAGAGGTCATAAAGTGTGGTGCCAATTGACTCCTTGTTCCTTGGGACTGTTTGAGGATATTTGGATTTTATTTATCTGTGAGGATACAAATGTGATTTTTCTCTGTATGACAAAGTAAATTTATTCAGCCAGACTTCTGCTTCCACCTGGCAGAAAAAAAAAATGATCATAATGTCTATTTTTTCCTTAACAATGTTTCACTTGCACAATGATAAGTGAGGGCAACAGGGTTAAGAAAAACACAAGACAACGGCATAAGAGAACCCAGAGAAGGACCTGGAAACGTTGAGAAGAGGGTGGACCCATGGGGGTACTAGCAGAATACTGGCTGGAGTAGATGCAGTCATTTCCTCCTCGCTATAGAAGTGACCCACCCACTCCTAACCTTCTCTGTGTAGGGAATCACTCTCTGCAAAAACTGGTGAGTGTGCAAAGGGCACAAATCCCCCAAAAACAAGATGGGAAAGGGTTTAAGAGGAGATCTAGCTCATCTCCAGTGTCCTCGGTCACCCAAGTATGCCACTCCCACAACTCCTGAGGGGGCTGCAGAATCCCTTCCCCAAGAAAATGGTTAGAAGACATACCCTCACACTGACACCAGGGCCTGCTTGCCCCCGGCAAAGTGCATCCTACAATAAGGCTTATCAGTGAGTCCATGCTGAAGCCCGACAGCCTGAGTTCTCATGGGGAAAAGCTTGAACTAGGTGAGAAGCTGTCCTTTCACATTTGACTGGAATGAACTAAAAGCACTAGAAAATTCAGAAATCTATGCAAAGTACAGTCAAAGTGACAAAACAGAGAGAATACAGGGAGGAAAGGAGAGGGGAAGAGGGAGGAGTAGGGGAGGGGGGGACTATGAAGGAGGAAAGCAAACTCTCTTAAGTAGAGGTCAACTGCATCCTATTCTCTGTCAGCATGTGTAGGCCTGCTCATAATCAGAACCATAGAGCATGTCTGGCAAATAAACACTTATAGGCCATTTGAGCTAATTGACTTTAAATACCTACATTTCTGATGAAGAAATATGTATGGACTTTGTCTGAAGGGTATATAATCCAAGTATAAAGGTCTGATATAATGGAACTTTCCTTCTTTTCCTCTCTCTCTCTCTTTCTTCCTTCTTCATTCTCTTCCTCTCTCTTTCCTACCCCTAACCATCTTTACAAATGTATTTTGACAGCATAATATCCATCCACATTAAGCAATGTCAGAATTAATTTTTTAACTTCAGTATAAAGAATAGATGTGCTTTTATTCCAACAAATGGGGCTCTCAAAATCACACTCACGGTGTGAATTTCTTTTCTGACGTCCCTGTCTATATTGTGTGCTAGAAACAGAGCAAAATCTGTGACAGACTCTACCAAAAGAATGCGTTGACTTTGGGTTATTTCTCCATTCCCTCTTTTTCCTTCCCTGCGATTGGATGACTCATTTTCTTTTGTTTCATACTATGCAATTTTAAGCAATTTCAAACCGTTTTTAGAACATTGTGATGTATAAATACATTTTGAAGATAAAGATTTGGTATGTTTAACACAATTCACTAAGAGTGTGCTAGCCAATTCATAACCAGCTGTTAGCCCTTCTCGGTTTGTCTAGTGTCATGTGGATGCAGGCTAAAATGTAAGTAGCACAATTATAAGTGAGCAAGACAACTGAAAGAAGGTAAGCGCTTGCTTCCACTCTTTTAAGGCTGGGCTGATACAAGACAAGGAACTGGCAGGATGGCTTGGCCAGTTTGTGGGGAAGGTGTGTAGCCAGGACCACAGAAGAACACCAGTAAGCGTCCATGGCAGGAGGAGGAGGCCATACGATAATCATTTGCATTTGGCCTTCTTTACTTTCTGAGCGTGCTCTTATTCTTTGTTTTTTAGAGGAGAAAATGGCCTGTTTTCCCAGCCATCAACACACAGTGGACACACCCCGCAGCCACTGATCAGGGACTAACCTGGCTCCTGTGTTCCCACTAATGCTGTCAGTCTTCATATCACTCTCCCACCTGCTCTGCAATGAGGGGCCATCCTGTCTTCCCTCCTTTCAAACCTGCTAAAACTATGTGCTTTCCTCCCGAAAGTAGTTTGAAATTTAATTTTTCCTTGAACAGTAAACTAAAAAGTCAAGACGCTTACCATGTGCTAGGCACTATTTAAAGCACCTCGAAAATATTAACTGCATGGATGATTATAACACTCCTCAAGTGGGTTCTACCATTATCATTATCTCTGAGTTTTACAGATGGGGACAGTGAGTCACGGAGCCTTCTAAAGGTTGCATAGATATTCCATATGGTCCTCAGAACAGCACTATGAATTGCCTGGCGTGTGAAAGAACACACCAGAAGATAAGAGTAAAAGAGTGCTATTGTAGAACCTACTAGACTGAGACCAGGGTCATTACACTCATGTTTTCTCCTCATCACTGTCAGGATGGCAGGCTAGTGGATTATGAAAGGACTTTAAATGAATGTTGCCACAGTCCATCCCAACCTTAACTTTTTTTATGCTTGCAGTTTGGTCCTCGAAATAAATGTTTTCGTCGATGACAAGGCATTACACAGCACCCACACATAGAATACTCACGACAACTCTGGTGTAGACTTCTTCAGCAAGATCAGTGCTCTGGAACTTTAGTTCTGTAGGAAATGTGTACTTGTTCAGCCACTCCAAGAGTGGCAGGTCTACATTGCTTCCAGCAAAGGCATACTGAGGAGCATGGATGTGTGTATCAACAAGGCCTGGCATGAAGAACTCACTGGGAAGTAAGGAGAGAGAAGAAAATCGTTTAAGAACATCTTTAGACAAGGGTTTCATTTATTCTACACATCTACAACTCTAAGTTTCCTTATTTAAAGAGATCAGAAAATAAGAACAAAGTTCTACTAGAAGAGAGAGCCCCTAAGTTGCAATGGATGGAGCTCTAGTTAAGAGATGGCAGAGGGAAGGAACGCACAGAAGCCAAGCTGTTGTAGCAGAAGAGAGAGAGAAGCCATGGCCACATCTTATGCCTCTGTTCTTACAACTGGACAGAGATTAGAAGTGGGGATAGTGTTTTCAAGCTTCAAGAACTGGACTGAGGGACAAGGATACATATCACAGAGGGGGAATAAAGACAGGCTCAGTTAGAAGGCTGCAAGAAATCCTGTCCTTTTCCATGTACTCAAAGGCTGAGCTCTCAACAGAAGCATCAAGAACATGCCTGGACTGCTTTGAGACCCTTGATCTTTGCAAGGAAAGTGTAGAAATCAACTGTTGGTCTGCAGGTGAAGCAATGAGGGGTGTGATGCTGTAACCGCCATCCTTGCTCCAATTCTTTTCTTTCCTTTTTGAGACATGTTTTTGATACACAGCCCACGCTGGCACTGAATTCACGTTTCTGCTGATTTCACCTTCTGAGTGCTGAGATGGCAAGCATGCAGCACTATGCCCAGCTTTCCGTTTGTACTGTTGATCAGCTGAGCCTCCCTAGCCACATTTCTACTTATTTTTACACCAAGGAGCTCTGGATAGATATTTTTAAGTTTTCAGAAGCACTATCCACAGAAGGGAGGAAGGCAAATGCTAGTAGACACGTACAGCTCATCTCAAGAGCTAATTCAGTTCCCCGGGGTAGTCACTGCATCAACTCATCCAAACACATATCTATTAACAGATGATATTTACTCCACTACTTTCACTTAGAACAACTGGAAAATCACCCACAGAACTTGAACTCAATACTTGACACCCCAAGGAAAAACTCTTCGCCAGCAAATGAAATGCATCCATATGTCCAGATGTAAGATGCAGCCATGAGCAGTTTTAAAAATGCTCTGTATTAAAAAGGAACTATAATGTAGTAATGAGGCTATGGTACAAGCAGCTAACACTTACTGAATGTGTACGTGCACTGGAACTGGACACAGTTTCCTCTGAGCAGTATGTCACTTATGTAGGCAGCTTGTTACAGCAGTTACATATATTCATTCTAGATCAGCCTGCCTGAATGAAGACCCACCATTAACCAGCAGTGGGATATGTGTCATGTCATCTAGTCTCTCTCTTATCTTCACTATATGAACAATACGTGTTATGACCATAGAGTTGGGGAAAGTACGTTACTGCATACAAGAATGGACCTCAGCAACTCATGACTTTTGGACGGGGCACCTTGACCCTGGCAGCTCTCCTCTATCACTCTTGTTTGTCATACTCTGTGTGACAAAGAATGGTGACAACGTGTGAGTATATAAAGGTGTCAGGAGGTCTACAGTGTGAAATGTGTCAGTCACTGTTCTCTCTGGATACCTCTGTCCTTGGGGCTCTTGCCTCCTCTACCACCACAGTGAAACAGTTTTGAGTTTACATACAGTTGGGTAATCTTCAGGTGTTTTCCAAACATGTTTAGGAAACTCTGTTAAGACTTGTGGGTAATCTATAGAGAAATAAGGCATCTCTCTGCCTTCAGACACTGTATAATAGCTCAAGATATTAGGGGCATGTGTGTTTCAAAGAGACAGGGAGACAGAGACACAGAGGCTCTTAGTGAATAATTTCACCCCTAAGTGTCTACTCAGGAGAAATAAAGCTTAAGCTTATAAAATTTTTAGTTGTGCAAAACTGTTTGCAGCAGCTTTGTCCATACTATAGCCCCAAATGGGAAACAATTTAAATAACTGTCATGGGAAAATACAGATAGATAAACTGTGTCCCCATGGAATACTATTAAACCAGAAAACGAAAAGCAACTATTCTTACAATATGAATCACTACCAAAACATGATGTTGAAGAGTCAGAGAGATGGCTCAGTGTTTCCTGGGCAAGTATAAGGACCAGAGTTCAAATCTCTAACACTCTCATAAATATCAGGAGAGCACGGTGGCTCAACTTTAATCCCAGACATGGGAAACAGTGTTAAGCCCCGATAGTTGAATCGATAAACTCTAGATTTCATTAAAGGGGCCCTGCCTCCACAAACAAGGTGGGGAATAGGAAGCTCTGACTTCTACATGTGTGCATACATGTGAGCATGCACACTTCCCTGTACAAACACACACAAAGGGGGAAAAACATGATTTAGGATACTCCTGCAACCATGTATGAAGTTTCTGGGAAATATAAGAGGAATAATTTAATATTTTATCAGTCCCTGAAGACAAATGAAATGAGTTGGAGAGATAGCTTGAGCATTCAAGGGTGATCATTCAGAGTACAGAGAACCTGGCTGGAGAATCAGGTTTACAGAGTCTCATGATGTCAGCTTAAGCCAAATGTCAAAGTATGTTGCAACGGAACATTTTCTATTTCTGTAACAAACTACCTAAGGGTAGATACTTTGCTTTTAAAAGAGGTTTATTTGGCTCACACTTTTAAAAATCTATATGCATGATATAGGTAAGAACACACTTTCTTGCATGACAAAACACAGAGAACTATAAAAATAAACAGCTACATACAGAATAAGCCAACTGTATGGGGTAGACTCACTTTAATAGAATACACTCTCACAAGAACTCCCTTACTTTAAAAGACCACCATCAATTGTCTCCAACCACGTTCCATCTCTCAAAAGTCCTGTCACTTTTCAACATCTTTGCACTGGGTCCAACTTCCAGCATACGAAACTTTCAAAGACACACTGAAAACCGTATCTAGTGCCTAGCTTGTGGCCTCTAGGTGTTACTGAAGATGTGGGCTAAGCAGTCACAGAGAGTTAAACACAGGATTCAGGGTTCAGAAGCTGCTCTACAAGCTGATAATGTTAGACATTTCCATAGATATAAACAAAGCTAAATCTTGAGCAGCAGCATTCACATAAGGACAGAGGAAGAGAAGGTGACGATGACTGATAATGGCAGAACTGTTGTCAAGAAGATAGAGGGGTCCCAGGATACAGAGATTATCAGAGAGAATGACAAATGTGGCAGGGAAGTGACCAGTGACAAAAATAATTCTGAAGGCAAGATATATGAAGCCTCAGAGAGACTCTAGAACCTCTAATGCGGTGAACCCAGGGCATTCAACATCAAAGGAATTTACTCAGTGCTAGTTCTGTCCAAGGGTGCTGAGAAGTGAGGAGCCCCAGATGTGGGTGGCAGAGAGAGAACCAGGCATATTTCTTTGTAAAAGTGAGGATGGGAAGAGTACATGAGACTTCATTTTTCTTATGCAAGGGAAACCTGTGCGCGCTATCAGTAGAAAAGAGGCAAGAGCAAATAAGGTGTTTGAGGGTTCACTCTTTAGGAGCCGAAGATGGGCTAGGAAGGACTTACTGCGGCCTGAGCGGCTTTTACCCAATACAGGTTGCACTGGGCCATGACATTAGCAAAGTCCGCACGCTCAAGGGTGAATATGGGGTTTGCTGAGATAAAGATGCAAGAGTGTGTAGTGTGAGAGAAGCAGGTGGAAGCAAGCCTTTAAGTGACCATCTCATTTTGCATACAGCAGGAGGCAGCTGGGGGTTGGTTCCAGGCTTGCAACTTGTCATTGCCCTGGCCAAGGTGAAAAGTCTGTTCGCCATTCAGAAAATGACTTGGAGCTGGATGATAGCTACTAAGAGCCAACTTAGACAGAGCAAAAAGGTGGCCCACTCGCTGCACCAGATGGAGATGAAGTAGATCTCCTCCCATCACTTTTCAACTTTTTCCAACCTATGTTAGTCAGCATAATTGCCTTAAAACTTGAACTTCACATTTTAAACCTGAAATAGTAGTGTGACCTTATTAAAAAAAATCAAGAAAAAAGAGCACTATACAGCCCTCTATACAGTTATCAGAACACCTACCCAACTTTTATATTTCTTTATCTTTATTTAACTTTATCTTTGTACTACTGGGAATTAAACCCAAGGATTTCATGCACAATAAGCATGTCTTTTGTCACTAATCTACATCTGCAGTTTCATGTCCCACCCCACCCACACACTTCTCATTTCCTTTTTGAGGTGTGGTCTCAATGTGTAACCCAAACTAACCTTGAACTTGCAGTTCTCCTGTGAGCCTCCAAGTGCTGGGATTACAGGCATGTGCTGGCACTTTCCACCCTTCCATTTGTGTTCCACTAAATAAATAGCAAACACCAAAAGAAGCCACACAGCCAGAACAGCGGGCTGTAGGCTAAGGCCCATGTCACCCGGTTTGAATATCATCACTACCTAAAGTCACTTTCCAAATTTTAAACAATTTTCAGAATAAAAATGGTGGTGCCACTTTTATTGAATTTGGAAATACAGCCGTCTGAAATTAGGCAAAAATATTTGAGCTTATGGTAAGTGCTTTCATTTGTACAGAAGATGTCAACCAAGTTGTGGAGCTGGCCCACCACAGAAAACACATCTTATACGGATTCTAAAGACCATAAAAATATCAACTCAAATGCATTCTGGACATAGGTCTTCCCTAAGCATGCCATCAGAATGGTTGTTTCTCAGACTCTGTTCCTTGGTTTCCCTGTTTTGTCCCTACTCTCCCACATGCTTATATGGGGCTAAAGACTTGTCAAGGTTTTAATACTGCACACAAAATACCCAACAGATGTTTAAGAAAGGAATGACAGCTCTCTCTGGTCCTCAAAGTTTCCGTCCTTTAGACTGCTTTCCTCTCACCCATCTTCCCTACTGATGGCCAATTGTTTAATTAGAAAGCCTCCTCTGTCTCTCAGTGCACACTTCTCATCACTTGAACGTTGGTACTAGCTCCCAACAAAATGGAAGATGTTGGCAGAGACTTACTGGTGGCTCAGCTCTCTGATCTCACATGGTTTGAAGCACCACTCTTTGGCCAGTTTTTCCTGCTGAGATGATTCTTCTAAAAACACTATCTTTAAGAGAAAAAAAAAAGAATTGGATATTACTAAACTGTAACCACTTGTTGACACTAAACACACAAATATTTTCAAAGGAGTCTGTTGTGATGCTGAGATAATATTAAAAGATATTTGGTACAAAATGGGATTGAGTTTGAAAGCAATAATAATAATAATAATAATAATAATAATAATAATAATGTTGCATTTGATCATCCATAAAAGTAAAGTGTATACAACTTCTCCTGCAAAAATGTAAACCTGAGACTTCCAAGATGTTCTTCTGTAGATTCACACTAATGGGGACAAGGAGCATCATTTCTTCTTCATTAATGTGACTAAAGAAAATGCAGTTATGTAAAACCACCCAACTTCAACTTAATGAGATTGCTGTTTAGCGTGTTATGGGAAACACTAACTCTCATTTTACAAGGCTACTGTGGAGACTAAATATGACAATTCTGGTGGTGAAATTAGCATATGCCTGGAACACAGTAAATGACCAAGTGTACGGTGGCTGTTTTCTCTACAAGTAAGACAGGAAGTCTTGAGGTTAGAATGCAGGAAATAGCCCCTGTCAGTTTGGTTTCTTTGCTTATTTTGTTTTGTTGTAATAAGGCGTGACATGATAGGCAAGAGCTCTACCGCTGAGTCAGATCTCAAAGCGCTTCCTGTTTTCATTTTAGATGCAATATTATGAGAAAAAAAAAGTGTTTCAGTAAAAATTAAAATCTGAAAAACTGCTAGAAAATTAAAAATTGTCCACCCAGTGAAGTGAGAATTAAGGTGATGTATCTCAAGAAAAAATAATTGTGTAACTGAGAAGAAAACATTGGTTTCTTTGTTCATTAAAGACCTGGCTTAAAATTGGGATGCTGATCAGAAGTAATCCCTAAATTAAAATAATTAGATGATTATAAAGATTATACCTGAATCAATGAACATTTAAAAATGAGGAATCAACGCTCACCAGAGCTTATAGCTAAAAAGCCATAGAATTTGAACTTAGCAATTCTTTTTCAGAAGTGATCTATTATAAACATCAGAAACAAGTAGTATAACACTTCAATAAATGTAATTGAAATATATTAGGAATGAATGTTTCTGAGCAAAATAAAAACGGACAGTTTATTCTGGAGAGATGTAAACACAATGGGGAAACAGAGGCCATTTTGCCACCCCTGTGGAAAGCTCTTGATCAACAGTAGTGATAAACACGCCCTTGACAGATGCAAATCCTCATGAGATAACATATAACATAATACATAACCCCTATAGCTGACACCTTGCCATATTTCTCCAGTACTATGGCATTTGCTGTCAACAGAACCACCTGAACGGCAAATGATCTAATTGCTTATCACCTAATAGAACATTAAAAATAACTGACATTAATACATACTTTAAATAAAATATAATTTAAAAGTGCAAAGAACTGATCAACGTTTCTATAATAAAACTGTTCCTACCCACATTCTTTTGACTTACATGAAAATGGTTTCCAACACTGATATTTATGAAAATGGATAATAAGAAAAATTATGCTGCTCTATTTCATGCCCATAACCAGAAATATTCACTGACCCATTATGCAATTGTAGGAAATAGCTTTCTACTTACATAAAACAAATTACCTTTCAATATATGTATGTAATAGACATTTTTAAACTTCCTCATGTTCCTGGGAAATTTTAAATGTTTCAATTTTTTCAACAAATGACATAGCAACAAATGTTCAATAAGACTTCCAAGAAGAAAATATACTACATTAAATTAAAACTTTCTAAGGGATTAGACCAAGATTCATAACTCAGTAGGGAAAGGGGGACTACGTGGCATTTCAGACCATTTAAAAGGAGAAAGTTCATATTTGGGTCTCATTATGTTACCTGGACAGGTCCAAAATTGCTATGTTGATTAGGCTGGCCTTGAACTCATGGAGACCTACCTGCCTCTGCCTTCCATGTGCTGAGATTAAAGGCACATGTTGCCATACTGACACTTCCCCTGTCCAGAACATTTTAAAGGTTACTATCATGATTTAATTTGAAGAAGTACATATTCTAAAATTTCTAGAAATAATGGGCTTTGTACATATTTACATTCAGCAAGTCATATATAACACCAGCTTTAAAAGTTTGGAAACTTTATGCTAGTCTTTAAAATTCTTTTAGGAAGATTTGAGGTTTCCTTTTGAGCATGAAGAGTATTTCTCCAGACAACTCATAGTATAGGCATTCACAACACTGATTCTATATCTACCCTCTCTCCAAAAATCTCACTCCATCTATCCTCAAAGTGAAAGACTATAACTCAAGGTTAGAAAGGACTAGATACAACTAAAAATAATAATGACTAAAGTAATGAAGACATATTTACTGAATGGAAAATTATCCTTTATATAATATTAAAGTATCTTTTTAAAAATCCAGGTTACAGATTCCCTGAATGTGGTGTTAGTTAGGAGGACTGGGCAGTCTATGGGGCCTCTGGTAGTGGATCAGTATTTATCCCTAGTATACGAATGGACTTTGGGAGCCCATTCCACATAGAGGGATACTCCCTCAGCCAAGATATATGGGGGAGGGCCTGGGCCCATTCCAAGACTCACCATGGAAAGCCTCACCCCACCCTACCTGGGGAACAGAAAGAGGATGGGATGGGGATTGACAGGGGAAACAGGGAAGATTGGGAGGGCACAGGAACTGAGATTGATACGTAAAACAAGCTTTTTCAAATTTAAATTAAAAATTATTTTTTAAAATGTTCAGGTTATTAGATACCATGCATGTATAATGATTGTTGATAATAATATGCTATGGGTACAGGGATGGGTGCATACATGAACACATATGCTGAAGGGATTATATTTGTATTAATAGTAGTTATCTATAAAAAAATAGATTTCTCATCTTAAAGAAAATTCTACTTATGATGCCTAGGAAAATTAAAACACAAACCCCTGATACTAAAGTCTATTCTCCAGATGTAAAGCCTGTGGCTGGGGGTTTAAAATACACCAGACAGGTGAGGGTTAAAATGGACATGGAGAAGGAGAAACACGCTGAGGCCTCAGTGTTTCCCCCACTACATCAGAGGGAGAAAAAGCGGTGTGGGCAGAAAGGGTCTTGAATAAATTTCAGAATCTGCCAGTGATAGAAAGCACTTGGAAAAGAAAGAAAGGAAAGAAGATGGAAGGAAGGGAGGAAGCAATTGGCACTAGATAAGTATCCAAGGTAGATGACAAGAGATGGAAGGGGTAATGACAGGAACAAGTAAGGAAGTAAAAATCAACAGACAAAGGCCTACTGTCAGTGTCACTGGAGGATTAGGTTGGGGAACTTTAATTCATAAGCCAAGTGTTTCATTTTTTTCCTTTCTCTTCTTCATGTAATTGTTCATCCAATACTGTCTGTGACCTCTTGTTAAATAGCATCATCACAAGGATTGCGAGCAATTGATTCATAGTAAATATAACATATGACATTTGATAGGGACTGTTATAATGGGAAATGAATGTTGAATGGACTAAAGGTTATATGTGATGGTCTTTCAGAGATGCTAATTAAGTATGGATTTTTTTTTTCCAAGAAGGTTGGGGTAAGTAACTAGAATATTCTAGGAGCATCAGAAATTTAACGTGGGATGTGTTCAGTGTGTTTAGAAACACCAGACATACCGGTAGAGACCCAGCAGAGGCACTAGAAAAGACTGAAGGAATCTAAAGCAAAAATAATTAGGAGTTGTAAGCCATGTTCAGCCTTCAGATTCATTTTTAGGAAATCTCTAAAAATCTTGTGGGAAAAGGCCATTGTTATATTCTTCATGGTTAAATGGCCTCCTCACCCCTAGTCAGTCTGGATTCATTATGCCATTCACTTGCTTGCTCACTCAAGTGCCTGGAATGGCACTCGGGCCTTCCTCCTTACAGTCCATGGTCTCTATCTAAACAAGCTGTCAGTCACATACACAAATCATTAAAAACAAGGTTTCCTAAAACCATAGAGAGTTCCAGGTGGCAGGGGCTTTCTCAGCCAAACCCTTAGTTTTCCAAACAAGTAACTGAAGTTCCTTCTGCTAGGCAAACAAGCCCAAGTGCCTCTACCCTGAAGTGCGGGATGTTTAGGATGAGCAGAATGATAATGTCAGAAATACTAAAGTCAAAGGCAGATGATGGCTATCAGCATATGACACAAGTCTCTGCGAGATACAGGCTTCAACACCAGATGGAAAGTTTGAACAAAGTGCTTGTTGCCATGGAGTAGAGTAAACTTCTGGACAATTGTGAAACAGCTCAGCTACACAGCAAAGGGGGGTAGATATGATCTGTACTTGTCATGCAGACCTACTCAGGTCGCTGTGATAGAAGACCAGTGCAAACACATTCACTTCAGAGATTTCTAAGGCCCCTGGCAGAGACACACCTTGGTAAGTTAGCACAATTCACATCAAACTGATTCATGGAAAAAAATAAGATTGGTCTGACAAACAAAAGTCAACCTATTGTGAGGTTAAACCTAGAGTGAGGTTAAAGTTGCCAAAAGGCACCAAAGAATACCACGAAGGGCTTAGATTTTCTGATCCAATATTCTTTTTGTGAATAAGAGAGCAGAACAGGCTGAGTATTTGCTCTGCCTAGAGGTTTTTCCAGTTGATTGCTTGTCTGGCCATATAAACCAGAAATGATAAAAAAAAATTTCCCCACACATCTCTGGGAGAAGCCTCCTTCCCCACCAGATGCCAGGCCAGCTCTCTGAACCCAAGGTAAGAGTGCCCACAACCCTGACTGCGCCAACCACCTCTCTTCTCCTTGTCACCACATCCCAGCCCACACCTCTGGCAGAAGACTCCCACCTCACCAGAAGCCAGGCTAGCATGTTGAACCCCTGGCCAGAGGACTCTGGCCAGATTAGAGGCCACACACATCGCCAGAAGTCAGTCCCAAATTTTGCAGCTACCCCTGCTGGACCAGAGGCCATCCAGACCATCAAAAGTACAGTGCCAGACTTGGGCAG